TCAGTAGTTCAGACTGTCAGTCATGTCAGAACAGAACTCAGAAGTTTAGAAAGAACACCTCTATATATACTTAAACAGTCTATCATGATTAGTAAGAGACTATGCTTTTAAATATTCAAGTAAAATCAAAGAGATTTTTGGGTTCCTGGCACAATCTAAGATTCCCAAAGAACACAGTGGTTTGAATGAGTACAGAACAGGCTTCAATTTCAACATAAGGATTCGGGCAAAAATACTTCAAGAAAGATTTTGAAACAAGAGGCAAGTTCATTTACACAGCAGATCTAAGAGAAGCTTTCTTCCTAACACGTGACTGCTAGTAAGTATGCTGTGGCACACTGACATGTAACAGAGTTGGATCATGTTCTAGATTAAGAATCTTCTCTACATAACATTTACCGACTAGAGAAACACTGTCTACCTTTCAAGGTACTGGGATGTAGAGGAAGGCATTTTGAAATTGTCATACTGACTGAGAACAGAGAAGAGAAATGCTAATGGCAACGAGCCGCTGGCCTTAACTCCGAATGGATGGGAGTCACCCACCACTCTCCTGCCTACAAAAACCAACCAACCAAAAATCAAGTTACTGTTTCCCATTCTTCCTTTTCTTAAGATTAAGTCAAACCAGTCCTTTCCCTTTGATCTTCAAAGTCCAGGTCTCAAGATGCAGCCCAGAAACTACTCTTCACTACTGTAACTGTTATTGTAATGATTACTACCACTTCCTTTCAATTATCATGATTTTGTACAGTCCCTTTAAAAGACTTTGTTTTCTCCACCCACATGGATTTAACCCCTATACCAACACTAAACTTTTAGCTAGCTAACTTCTCTATCCAGTGTAACATGCTAGAAGAAAACTTTCCAAGTATCTTTAGAACTATCATCTTTAGAGAAAAATAAAGGTCCACAGCCTCCCAATAACACAGAAAATAGTGTGCACAAAGTATAACACATCTTAAGAGGCACAGGGTTCAGCTTCCATAAAATTCTCAAAAGACCCTAGAACATCAAGAACACTTACTTAAACTATTGCAAAACAGTTACACGATTCCTAAGTTCAAAACATATAGTTTAAATTCCCTCCACAGGTTAAAGTACTAATTAATGTAATATTATTCAATATAGCTGGAATTTTCAACTCACCCTGGCAATATTATATACATTGTGATTCTAACAACCAGATTACCTCTTTCACACCCCATGAAACAAAATAGCCAATCTAAGTTCAATTGTTTATAAGTCTGCTTGACAAATTATTCCATACAAAATGAAAAGCCATTTATAGAACATCTATAAGAAAACTTCTAGACAAGTATTTTAAAAATATTCTAAAATCTGTGAAGCACTATGCAATACAAACAATTAATCGTGATTATTTTACTTAAATATTCCTGACCTGCATGCACACTGCAACTACCAAATTATTCTTTAGTGGCATTCTACTCAAAATTTCTCTGAATTAAAAAGTAAGTTCAAACAATTCAGCTGACATAATCTTTTTTTAATTAAATTTTTATTTTTTTACATTAATTACATTTTATTCACTTTGTATCCCAGCTATAGCCCCGCCCCCCGTTCTTCCCAATCCCACCCTCCCTCCCTCATCTCCTCCCTGCCCCTCTCTCAGTCCACTGATAGGGGAGGTCCTCCTCCCCTTCCATCTGACCCTAGCCTATCAGGTCTCATCAGGATTGACTGCAATGTCCTTCTCTGTGGGCTGGCAAAGCTGCTCCTCCCTCGGGTGGGGAGGTGGTCAAAGAGCCAGCCACTGAGTTCATGTCAGAGACAGTCCCTGTTCCTCTTACTAGGGTACCCACTTGGATACTGAGCTGCCATGGACTACATCTGAGCAGTGGTTCCAGTTTAAATCCATGAATGGATCTTGGTTGGATATACAGTCTCAGAAAAGACCCCTGTGCCCAGATATTTTGGTTCTGTTGCTTCCCTTATGGAACTCCTGTCCTCTCCAGTCTTACTAACTCCCCCTTCTTTCATATGATTCCCTGCACTCTGCCCAAAGTTTGGTTATGAGTCTCAGCATCTGCTTTGATACACTGCTAGGTAGAGTCTTTCAGACATTATCTTGATGATTTGATGACCATCAGATTCTTAGGTTAAATTCTAAAACATCATCTCACAGGAAATAGACTAAAGTGTCATGTATTATTATGTTAAATTAGATACATTAACACGTATCCATTTTTTTCTTTTTTTTTTAAGTTTTATTTTTCTTTTTAGTTACATTTTGTTAACTCTGTGTCCCAGCTGTATCCCGCTCCCTCATTCCCTCCCCAACCCCACACGACCTCCCTGGTCTCCTCCCTGCACCTTTCCAAGTCCACTGATAGGGGAGGACCTCCTCCCCTTTCATTTGACCCTGTTTTATCAGGTATCTTCAGGGCTGGCTGCAAAGTCCTCCTCTGTGGCCTGACAGGAGGAGGACTGCTCGTCCCCGGGGGGGAGGGGGGGGGTGTCAAAGAGCCTACCCTTGAGATCCTGTTAGAAATAGTCCTTGTTCCCCTTACTTTGGAAAACTACTTGGTTACTGAGCTACCACAGGCCACATCCAAGCAGAAGTTCTAGGTTATATCCATAGATGGTCCTTAGTGACAGGAGTCTACCACAAAAGGCATCTGAAAGACTCTACCTAGCAGTGTTTCAAAGCAGACACTAAGACTCATAACCAAACCCTCAGCAGAGTGCAGGGAATCATATGAAAGAAGGGGAGTTAGTATGATATGGAAAGGATAGGAGCTCTACAAGGACCAAATAAATCCGGACACAGGGTCTTTTCTGAGACTGACACTCAACCAAGGACCATCTATGGATATAACATATCCATTTTTATACTAAGGTGACTTAGTTGGCATCTCTTATTTTAAATTTCAAGTCATAAACTACCTCATTATAAAGTTCATCACAAGAGTAAAGGCATAAACTAGGGAAGATACCATGTACTCTCATGGCAGTGTAGACCACAGGGAAGAAAAACCACCTTTCTTTAGGCAGATTTCAAGGTTATGTTATTCTATCAGAATCGTGGGCTGATACCTGAGTGAGACACACTTTTAGCAGTGTTTTGCATAGTCTGTGAGCTTTCTGTAGGAGAATAACAACGGAACCCATGCTCACATGCTAATTAAATCATATGCTTGTACTCAAGACCAATACTAGTTATTCAGGAAAAAATATAGGACACACTTTGTAGTGAAACATTTTGAAATATAGAAGCTCTGTATTATATTAACTATATAATACAAATATATTAGCAATATAATACAATATATTAACAAAAAAAACTGCAATAAGGAACCTTTTGGCTTACAAATACAAAATCACTTATTAGCTGTAACTCCTCAAAAGGCAACCTATAAAAAAACAGTAAAACAACAGGACTATAGTATTAAAGTATTTTCGCCGTAAATACACCACAGTACACCTAAGAATGTCAATAAGCCAGAAGCGTCATAAAATCAAGTTTATATTCTTTGCACAACTCAGTATATTTCTATGTAATCTTTTTTATTAAAAGCTAATTATATGATGAGAAATAGTCTTGAAAAAACTTAGAACTAAGGCATGACAAAATTCACTCTTCTCTGAAAAATACTATAAAATAAAATGGCTTCATTTTATTTAAAAAAAAATCCATACATGAAAGAAAAAAAAAATCAAGAAACTTAAATGAAGATCCTAACTCTGCCATAAGAAACTATAGAAACTTTACCAAATATTTCATTAACTGTTTTACATCTCATACTCCTTATTTATATATTAAAAGGGGAAATCGGTTTTACATTTTATACTAAAAATTATCATTTGGTTCATCTGAGAGGACTTCACCCAAGGCATGAAGACGCATACAGTGCATGTTGACCAGTCTCATCCCCACGTACCTGTCTTTCCAACAAATCTCCTTATCACATTTACACAGTGACAGGACATATGCCTGTGTACAGGCTTGTGTGCACACACACACACTCACTTGCTAATGTTGGTTTAGTAAGGGAAGAAAATAACAGACACTAAAAATTCAATACATAATCTCACTGCCCTGTTAACAAATAGACATCCTTTCTTAAGATCTGAGCAATAGGTAAAAAGAATTAAAAATAGTACCAATAAATGTACTAATAAAGCTGTACGCAACACAGAAAACTACAGGGCTAATAGCACAGCCTGAAAATTTTAACTGAGGTTAGGGATGTGGCTCTGTGGTAGAGTACTATGTTAGCCTGTTTAAAGCCCTGGATTAAATCCCAAGCAATGGAAAACAAATGAACAACAAAATAATGCTTTCAACTATGAATATTTTAGAAGGTTGAACAACATTCTGATGGAACATTATGAACATGACATAGTATAAAATTACCACACAATTCCTAACTGACTCAAAATTAAACACTTTACTATGGAAAAGCAAAGTGAATTATCTGCATAGTGATGTAATTCTGAAATTTGTAGAAAGATTGCAAGATGTCATATCAATCTGAACATAAGTAACTATAAAATGGCTAAAAACTACATGGGAGGCAAAGAACACTTCTACTTTGGTCCTTTGTGAGAATGATTAGGAGGAAACAGTTAAGTAAAGCATCATCTGACTATCTTTAAAGGTATTACAAAGGGGAGTGAGGAGGTCCTGCTGTCCAATGATGGAATTCTTTATATAGCAGAGTTCTGCATTAAGAGTGGGGAAAAGTTTTGTTACCCAAACAAACCTGTGAGCAAGTAACTCTTTGACCATTTCTTATTCACCCATCAAATGAATCAACATGTTTTAATTAGCTTGAGTTTTTTCTTAAATATGAAAAAGACAAGTGTTCATTTGTGAAAACCAGATTATAAATTTGCTGTGCCACACTGATTTTTACAAATTAAACCAATTTGATTATTTTTAAGGTGAAATCTTACTCTTGAAAATGATGAAGCACAATGAATCAACAAGATCTTTACATAAGCCACCAAATTTGTTTTTTAAAAAATGTTCTTACTGTAACGAGGTCATTCCCTTTAACCATTCTTCCTTGGTAAAAAATCCCATGCTTTCAGCCTCCAATTTCCACGCCAAAACTAACATAATAATCTGGAAAGTACAGAACATAAATGATGGAAAAGTTATCAGAAATAATCATGGCTGCATTCATCATGGAGAACATTTTCAAACAAGTTATTTCCAACTGTCCACTGAACACTACAGTTTCTGTATTGTTAACCACAAAACAACTGTGGTGTGCTAGTTTTAAGGCAGTGTTTATGAAAGTAGACTCTCACTCTATAACAAACTGTATCTGCATCAAGAGACAACTTGACCAGCTTAGGAGGATTAGAAGACAAAACAAAACAAAACAAAACAAAACAAAAAAAAAACAACCACAGGTATCATTTTATAATATTAAACATGAAGAAAAACTTCACATATTAAAGCCTCAATTTTTAGAAATTTATGAAGAAAATGTTAAAATCCACTTAGTTCATTCTAGAAATAAAACATACATTTTCAGGCTCAACACCAATGTCTTCACAAAATTTTTCCATTCCTTCTGGCCCTACAACTTCATCAGGACCTTTAAAGACAAAAATAATTTATATTTTTATTACAATTTATTATGAACATGAGAGAAACTATTAGACTAAAGGTATCCATGAAAATACCATGCTTTTACAAATAAGTAAATTTGAATTTTAACAGAGCTTTGGAAAGTATAAACATTTGCCAAAATCTTAAAATCTTTATTCCTTAAATGTTACAATACGAATTAAAGACTCTTAAAATAAGATTTCACTAAGTAGCTCTTACTGGCCTGAAATTCACAGAGATTCACCTGTTTCTGCTTCTGAGTGCTGGGATTAAAAGTGTGAGAGACCACACATTTTTTTTTTTTAAAGGCACAGTAAAGAACTATTCCACTGGTATAATTCAGTAGCTTGCAAAAAAAAAAGAACAAAACCAAGTCAAAGTGAACTTACTCACAAAAAAACAAAACCAGAAACCAAACCTGAAAATACTACTAGGAAGTTATTCCGAAAAAAACATTTGACAATGTAGGGATATAAAGCATATGGAGATTGAAGCATCTTTTAAGTTTCTTATTTTAAACCAGATCACCAAAAGTCAGTCTTGAATTTTGTTTTTTTCCGTTATTAGATTTCCAAAATATAGTAAATGTATCGCTGCCAACTTTTCTGTGCCTAGAAATAACCTAAAACAAATGTTATGAGTTGAAATAATACATAAATGTCTTGAAACAATATTCCAACATTATCAAAAAACAGCTTTTATTCCTTAAAAACAAAAACAAAACCCCTAACTTTATTTAAAAAAAAACTTGAAAATAAAAAACATCAGACCCTAAAATTAACCAGGCCCAATGTCTACACACCTGCATGAAGTTCTCAATTGAAAAGGCACTTGAAAATTTCACTTGGGACTTTACACTTTCACTACTTGGATGTATTTTTATATATACATTTAATCCACCACCAAAAATGAAACACCCATGACAAGAGATAGAATTAGAAAAATTTTTTGTATCCTCTAGCAATAACTCATGTTCACTTATTTCATTCCATTCTTCCTATCCCCTAATAGTTCAGCTTTTATTGCTCTCTTTTCTACATGTACATTTCTTTACAAATATATATATTATCTTGATTCTGAGTAAGAGAGAGACCATGCAGTTTTCTAGAGAATGTATCTTCCTTGTACATTTTAACTTGCCTTTCTTCAACAATTAAGAAACACTCCAGCTTTAGCTAGTCAAGGTACACCAGTTTCTAATCCTAGCACTTGGGAAGCAGAGGCATAAAGATCAGGTGTTCAAGGTTAGCCTGGCCTACACAGGACCATGGATCAAAACAGAACAAAACAAAACCCCTAATGATTTAAGTCATAGATTAAACTAATCTTATTAGGTACATTTCACAATTCTATAATATGGTTACAGATACAAACAAAGCCAATGCCTTATAATTTTTCTTAGTAGAGTAATATAGTTTTCTACAATATAATCAATACTCTCCTACAGTATGAGAAGAATGCCAAAGTGATGTTAACACATTAGAAATCAAATCAGTTCTATATAAGACATACTTGTGATCTGAGCCACACAAGATCTGTTCATATTAAATGACTTTCCCAAAGCAATGGAAATAATAGACATAAATATAAGATAAAGCCTATACCAAAGTTCACTTCCTAACTGAATATCAATTATACTTTTAAACTATAGCCTTCTCATAAAACTACAATCTCGGTAAGATGTATGTAAATGAATTCAATTAATTCTTTCAAGCTCTTTGTATTTCCACTCAATTTAAGCAGTCATGAAAATGATCTGGCTCACCTTACAGTTCACTAAGACTAAGTAATTCTAATTGTATTTTTATTCTTCGTAGCAGATTTAAAAATGTGCTCTCTTTTTTACTTTCTATGTTTTCTCCTTAGAGGGCCATTACAGTTGGCTTTCTATATATCTAAATTGTATACACATGAATTCACAAATAGTAGCTCACTAAAAAATATCTGGAAAATAGTTAAGCATGGTGGCATACGCCTTGAGTCCCAGCACTTGGGAGGCAAAGGCAGGTGGATCAAAGTCAGTGTGCAATGATGGGTGCTGCGGTACATGCCTTTAATCACAGCACTCTGGTGGCAGACGGCCAGATCTCTGTGAGTTTGAGGCCAGTGTGGTTTATACAGTGAGTTCTAGGAGACCCAAGGTTGCACAGAGAAACCCTGTCTCCAAAACAAAACAAAAAGTCAGTGTGGTCTACAAAGCAGTTCCAGGCCAGCCAGAGCTACATATATAGTGAACCCCTATCTAAAAAGAAAAGAAGACAAAAGCATATCTTCTATTCTGAACACAAGCAGGGATTTTTCTCCTCTAATCACTATTCAAATTTTACATAGCATTTACAGAGTATCATAAGTAACCTACAGATGATCATGATGATCATTAGTATCTAAAAGTAGGGTACATGAAAACACTACCCCATTTTATGTAAAAATATAAATATTCCCAGCACATGTTTAGGGTTTAATACAATGCCATAGAAAATACTTAGGAAACAAACAAAACATTCTTAGTGACAGTACCTTTATAATGAATTACACAAGAGATTAGTTCATTTTGGAAAACACATACATGCATATATAACCAGTATATCTGACAATGCTCTAAGGCCATTAATAAGAATCATAGTACCTAGCATTATTGAGCTCTGACCATGTATCAGGTAGTATGCTAAGTCTTTGCATGTATCATCCACTCTGAGTAGGCCTAGCTTTCTTGTCTCCATCACAAATATCCCAACTTGGTAAGAAAGAACATTTACTATTCATTCAGCAAAGGACTGACCCTTATCAAGATTTCTGCCAAAATAGTTTCTGCAGACACTTTCTCAAGGACTTTGTGTAAAAGTTTAGTACTTCCACAAAGAAGTTATTTCATACAAGAGCCTTCACAAGCTTTAATCCTTGCCTTTATACACACTGCTACAATGGTCTCTTTCACTAGAAGTGACATTTGAAGGCAGGGATCATGTCCTGATTTTTCATTATTATATCTCAAGCACTATCACAGTGTTGGACTCACAGAAAAGTATTCCATAAACAGTCATCAAATGACTCACTGAATGACAGAAGATAACCTCAAGTTTACTAGCCTTTTTTTTTTTTTTCAGCAGAAGTGAAAATTAGTTGCCATTTGCTTGGTCTTGAAGGTCAGTCAACTAGAGTTTGAATCCTGGCTTTTGCACTGTTTCATCACTGGCAAGTTAATCTAAACCAGTCTTCATTCATAAAATGAGGATAACATCTCTTACTTGACAGATGGTTATAAGGAAGATGACATACTTATCACAACCCTTGGAGCAATGATAGTAATTATTACACTGGCTGTCAAAAATGTTAGTGTAGAAAATAAATATTTAATTCAAATCTGAAAATACCCAGGGAAGTTCCAGTAAGAGCTAAAACAATCAAGCATTAAAAACAAAAATGCAAAACAAAAACAGAACAAAAAAGACACAAACACACACACACACACTGATTATCTTTATGGTATCTAGTAACCTTTGCAAAGTAAAATAAAATTAGAACCTTTTGATTATATATAATGTGTATGTAAAACTGACATTTTAAAATAATAGGTCAACATTTTAAATAGAGGTCAGTAAAAAAAAAGTTCTCTACATTTAAATTGGGTTAGTGGTTGTCTTGGGATACCAGTAATAGCATTTATTTCCCCTGATCTAGAAAGAATCTATTCTACTACTAAACAATTTTTAAATTATACAATTGGGATCATTCTGCTGATCCCAATAGCAAGGTTGCTGCCCCCTTTTCAAAGTAGTCTAGTTTTCCATACAGTTAGCTGAAACTTTACAAGTTAAGATGCTGACATGGCTAATATAAATATAAGGCAATAACTACTAAGTATTTTTATTTAAGCAAATACTTTTGACAATAATGATAAAAGAGAAAACACAAAAAATAAAAAGAGGAAAGCAGGTAAAAGATAGGAAAGAGAAAAAAATTAGCTTTAATATCAAAGAAAAAAAAAAGCAAGAAAAGCTGTTATCTATGCTCATGTGGAAATCAACAGTAGGAACAAGTGTCTTGTTCACGAGCTTGCCTCACCTTGGCCCTAGATCTTTCATCAACCACTCACTTGTCAGACTCAGCTCAGGTTACTTTGCTTCTGACACTTTCAGGGTTGGGTTTTATATTATTCCTATTAATTATCCTGTGTCTTCATGGTCTAGTATTTAACATCCTGTAGCATTATCACTGTTTTCTTATGTATTATTGCATTTGTTGTAAAAAATAAAAGATAAAGCTGGGTATGGAGGCACACACCTTTGATCCCAGTGCTAGGGAGGCAGAGACAGGTGGCTCTCTGTGTGTTCAAGACCAGCCTGCTCTACAAAGTGAGTTCCAGGACAGTGAGGGCTGTTACACAGAGAAAACCCATCTTGAAAAACCAAAATAAACAAATAAATAAATTTTAAAAGGCTAAATTAAAGGCAAAATGTATTGTACATTATCTCTGAAATTTAAATTGCTTGCCACATCACCCTAAGAGCTTCGGAAAATGTTTCTGAAAAACACAGAGAATGTTGAACAGAAAAATGTTTTCCATATTGTTTCCTAGAATATTGAATAGAAAATGCTTTACAAAGCTGGGCGTGCTGGCATATGCCTTTAGTTCTAGTCGAAGCAGATCTTTGAGTTTGAAGCCATCTTGATCTACTGAGTGACTTCCAGATAGTCAGGACTGTCTCAAAAATTAAAACAAACAAACAAACAGACAAACACATGAAATAAAAATCTTTACCCACTTCTTTCCCAAAATACTTTAGTCAATGCATTTAATGTCTCTGTTTCTATTTAGATACAAACAGTAAATGAGTTTCTCCTCTCTTACATAAAATAGATTTAAAGAAATAATAGTGTTGAAATGCCACTAATTTCTAAGTCAACCCTTAACCCTTGAGGCTTAACCCTAATCCCTGCACACAGTACTACAGCATAGCAAGCCAGCAACATGACTGGTGTCTTGTTCCATTAATTTCATTACCTGCATACTCATAAAACCAAGCCAGGCACTTCTTTCTTGAAAACTCTTCCTCTCCACTGATTAGTCTAGCAGGAGGCTGGGACCTGCAATAGCTTGGAAAACACAAATGTCTAAGACTTACTAAGGAAGACCCAACTCTTAGCGAAAAGCTCGGTTCAAGAATTGCGTTGATGTAAAGGAAACACAGTGGTTTGTTTGTTTGTTTATTTATTTATTTATTTATTTATTTTTAGTGAGCATTTTGGGAGAAGGCGTTATGCATTAGCAATATGGACCTATATTCAACACATAAGAATTTCGGACCAATGAAACTCAAATGCTTCTTTACTTGCTACCAAATTCCAAAAATAGTAACTAAAATTATTTCCTCTGATATCAAGATTATAAAGAAATGTAGACTAAGTCTCAAGCCAAGACTAGAAAATAAAGCCTAACTCTCTCCCTCTTTGAACTACTCATGCTGGGCTTTCTCTCTACCACTAAGCACTGATTTGTATGAAAATCCTTGTTATAATTTAGGATGAAGTCTAATGATTCTGCCCCTCCAGCTGTTTTAACAGGCTTAATTAAAATATCTTAGATATGTTCTCAAAGAGCTAATAAAGGTCAAGCAAAATGTTAACTATCAAAGGGCGTAAGTAAACAGTATCATATTAATCATTCAAGAATGATTACACAACAAGGGGGAAAAAACCAAAACAATTGATTAAGATTAGGATTCAACAAGTCACCTCCTTCTTGTTTTAAGCAGTTCATTTCTCACTGCTTTTCTCCTTAAGACACATCTCCTTTGTGTAGTGCTGGCTGTCTTGTTTTAATGGTAGGTTTTTAATTTGTCACTTTAAGTGTCAGCCATTAACACAAAGACAGCTCAAAGGCTATAGGAGGGAGGGCTCCACTTCTCAAAGCTAACTTGCAATGACTTTCTGCAGCAATGTTTCTATGATCGAATGTCTGCCACAAGGGGAGAAATGGGCTCGAACTATAGCTCTGCTTTGTTTTCCTTTCCTCTACGAGAACGCAGAGCACAACAGCTTACAAAAGACTGAAAAGACTGTAGAGCTAACAGTGTCTCAACGCTAGAAAACAAAAAGCACTCAGGGCCTTTCCAACTCTGTGTAGGGAACTGGTACAGGTGGAGCAGAGGCCTGGTGGCTCCAGAAGCTGAGACTCCAGCGATTTAAAAGGCCTCCTGCTGGGAGCATCTAGGTTAGGCCACTTCAAATGCTAACTCAGGAGACCAATTATAGCACAGGCTTCCTTTCTACCAGTCCCAAAGCAGCTGTCAACATTCTTCATGCTCTGCTCCTTTCTTCACACTCTGACATTTAACAATGTGTGGGCCAAGCCAGTTCTCCTGATTTAGTGTGACCCAGGGAAGCCGTGGATCTTGGCAGATCCGCGCTCACTTCTCGGCTGGGAAATAGGATAAAGGGAGAATGAATGCAGGTTTACATATGGTCGCCTGTTTCCTACCCTCTGGGCGCGCAGATAACAAAGTGGGGCGAATCTCTGAGCTCGTCCAAGTACGCCAGAGCGCACGCACAGGCGAACACGAGGTTCGGGCCCGCGCAGAGCGGAGACTCTGGGCTCCTCACCGACCGCCTCCTCGTCGGAGGGGAGAGCTCGCCCCTGTAGCCACGGCTGGCGGCCGGCGGCCTGTCCCGCACCGGAGGAAGGAGAGCCTGCGGGGTGGGGGCGGGCGGTACCTGGAGATTTTACACTTTTTGAGGCCCGCGTCTTCCGCGACCGCCGCTGCCACTCCGGGGGCTTTTCTCTTCTTCTTCACTGGCATCTTCCGCCTTCCCCGGCAAGGTGGACAGGGCGGCCGGGGAGGGGGTTCGCGCTCCGCCGCAGGCCCCGCAGCGCCGGCTCCTGCCTGCCAGGGACCGCAGCGGAGGCCCGAGGCGCGACCCCGCGGCGGCCCGGCCCCGGGTCTCCTTCTTAGGGGCGGTTCGAGACAGCGCAGCGCTTCGCCCGGCGGTATTGCGGCTCGGGCTTTCCTGGGGCAGGAAACGCCGACAGCGCGGCACCTACAGTAGTCGCGAAGACCAGGCGGCTCAGCCTGACCCGGAAGCGGATGGCTCTGGGCCGGAAGTGACGCAAAGAGCGCTCGCGGGGCGGGGCGGGATCTGTACTTCTGGGCTTTTGGGATGCGGTCTCTGCTGGTGGAGTGTGGTGGAGTGTGGTTGTGCAGAGTTTCCCAGGCGGGTCCCCAGCGGGAACTACTTTATAAGATCATGAATGTTCTGCGGCTGGCGAGCGAAGTAATCTGGTGAGGAACCTCGCGTGAGTGTGCCCACTCCTGGTGTACAGCATCTCCAGTTCCTGGGGTGTTCTTGGTGGGCAAGAGACCAGCTTCTTCTCACGCCCCTTGTCCTTTTCTCTCCCCCCCCCCCCCCCCCCCCGGTCAGTGCCAGCTTGTGGCTTCCTCCAGTGGCGAGGCAACGCCTCCATGTTTTACTTCTGAGGAATTTTCTTCTTGGATGAGACTGGAACACTGACTGACTATACTATTCATCTCTGGTCTCTCGAAACTGCCACCACTTTTCTTTCTGGGCTCTTGTATTTATAACCCTGAGTCCTAAGCCACTCCTATCACCGTGCTGCAGGAAGCAAGTAGGCCAATACCGTGCGCCATAGTAGGCAGTTATCCAGCTGTGGACAAACCAAAGCCCAAACCAAAATCTCACATTTGGGATTAAAACAAAAACATACTCCATTACAGTAGACCATGCTGGCCTTGACCTCACAGAGGTCCTCCTGCCTTTGCTTCCTGAGTGCTGGGATTAAAGGTGGGACAACTTAGAAGAGTTCAGTCTCTCCATCCTGTGCCTCTTGAGGGTGGGACTGCGGTTGTCAGACTTGGCCACAAATACTTTTATTCTCTGAGGTTGTTCCCCTGGCTCCCAAAAGATACTTTTAATTCCCCAAATCTTGAGAGTCTAGCTAGACAGAGAGACTGAGGTATGAGGATTGCAAATTCAAGGTCAGTCTGAGCAACTTAGTGAGACTCTGAAAATCAAAAGTACAGAGAAGTTTGGGGGCTGTAGCTCTAAGACAGAACACGTTGTGTGTGTGTGTGTGTGTGTGTGACACCCTACATCAGTCCCTAGTGCTGAAAACAGTCTAGCCATAAACTCTATAAGTTGAATGACCCAGATTCTGCAAAAGTAGTGAGTGCAAGACAAATTTTTGTTAATAGACATATTTTATGATTTTGAGGTGATGGCGTATGTACTTGTTAAAATTGATTGGAGTGTATATTTATAAATGTCCTAATGGTACATTATTTTTTCAAGAGGCTTTTATGAAAATTACAAAACAGAACCAAATAAAACAGTTGGAAAAAAAAGAGCCAAGTTTACTTCTTTAATAAATTTGCTTCAAAGGCTGCATAGTTTTTTCCCCAGGAAAACAGAAGAAAGGAAATAAAACTTAAAGACAGATGAAGTTGTTGTATTTTATGTATTATATTCATTGATTCAGTCTGTTATTAAATAACTTTTTGATTGCCATTTAAACCAGATTTGAGAATATAAATGGTAGAAAAAGGCATGTGTGATAGCACACACATAGTGAGACTCTTACCTAGGCAAAACAAAACAGGCAAAGTTTCTGCATTCGTGGAGCTAACAGTCTGGAAGGAGAAATACATGTAGCATTTATACCCTTCTACTTCTTCATTGCCTTCTCAGGTCAGAACCCACTGTCACCACTACGCTTCCATTGTCAAAGTCAGCTCTCATTCCAGTTACTTACAGATAGGGATGTTCTGTCTGTACACAAAAGCACCTAGTCATGTGATTTAATTTTTTCTTCTTCTCACAAACACAGGATACTTCATGATTTTCACCAAAAAGTGTAGTGAGAAGCTGTGACAGTGCTACAGTTCTTTGTTATGTGGTCTAATTTTCTTTCACTATGTCAAGAAGGAAAGGAAAGGAAATAGTATTGAAGAGGACACTTGTTCTGGTTTAGATCCAAAGAGACTCAGCAACTTTAGGAAAGCCACAGAATAATATCACTCGTTTTTTCTATTGTTCATCATGTTTTAAAAAAAATAATCAAAACTGGATGTGGTGTTGCACACCTTTGATCCTAGCACTTGGGAGGCAGAGGAATGCAGATCTCTGTGACTTTGAGGCCAACTGAGAGACCAAAGAATTAAAAACTAGGTTTTTGGGGTACTGAGCTAAAGAGTTTAAAACATCAGGCCAATTGACCTTGCTGCTTCTAGGCAGATCCAGCTAACTGCAAGGAAGAGCTGACCTTGCTGCTCATTAGAGATATCGTTGCCAGGAAACCGGCCTGGATGGCCTCCAACTCATTCCAACTCATAGCTTTGCTCCTGAAAAATAGCATAGACTACCCAGGCCAGCCATCTCTCCCATCCCCCTACAAGATAGAGAAAAAAAGAAAGCCAGAGCTGTTTATGGTCCTGGCTCTTTCCCATAGCAAACAGTTTTGAAATGTAGCCTCCCCTTTTCTGTATTAACCTATAGAAGCTTGCCAGGCTAGAATCCCCTGCTTTGGGCATGCTGGGAGGGACTGGGATCTATAATTCACCCACAATCCAGAGCTCAGGGCTTTCTGCTGGATACCAATGCCTTGGTGTCTGTGAGAGTCCAGCTTGAGCTTTGAATAAAGATTCTTGTGTGTTTTGCAATGGACTTGACTCCTGGTGGTCTTTTATGGGATCTCATGAATTGGGCACAACACAGCCTGGTCTGCAAATGAGTCCAGGACAGCCAGGTCTATTACAAAGAGAAACCCTGTCTCAAAAAACTGGAACAAATACACACAGAACAAAACGAAAATCTCAGGAATGCATTATAGCCATCTGTTAGTACAGTAACAAAATATGTATGCAGATCGGAAAATCATGAAAGGCTGAGACATAGGTCTTTCATTCAGTTGACAGTCTAAGGTTTAGGGATTGTAGAATAAAGAAATGAAAAAGAACTTTCAAGATAGTTATATCTGAATTAAGGTAGCCAAAAAATAGTGGCAGAGATGTGCTTATTTATATATTTGGTATAGTATATTTTTTTCCCTAACACCTTTAAAAATAGGACTTTCCCTACTTGTCAAAAAAAGCAAGTACTGCAGGCACCAACCTTTCCAAAAGTTACTGTTTTTTTTTTTTTTCAAACACAAAGTCAAAATTTTATGAGATATTTCCATACACAAAAACCCAGAGAAAATTAACCCTAGGAGAACAGTAGAGAATGAGATGTCAGAATTTCTTTTTGAAATTTCAGGAAAGAACTCAAGAACTAATGTTGAAGAATAATGCAGGTACAAAGTGGGTAAAATGCTACTTGCTCTGCTCATCTTGTAGCAGTGTGCTGGACCACGTCTGTTGTAGTGACTTGAGTCCGGTTCCTTGTGGGCCAGACTGATGCAGTAACCTGTGTCTGGAGCATTTATGGTCATCACAGTAACACCTATGAGAGCGTAACGGCAAATCCTGTGCTGGTGGATAAAGGTTCTTTCCTGAATTGATGACGTCGTTTCTGTTCACCTGAGAGGCCCAGTGAAGAAATGTATTACGTACCCAGGCAGAGAGGAGTGCTAAATGCAGCCTACTGAAATATGGTATTTTACTGAATTTTATTCAACATGCTGAGAAAAACGTGTTCATAGAACAGTTCTAAAGGGGCAGTGGGCAGAAGCTCATGCATGAGTAGTGGTGTGTGACTTTTTAGGAGACACAAGCAAACATCTCTGCACCCCAGATGGGGCACCAATGACAGATCAAAGACACAGTTCCACCCAAGTCTACCCTAATGAGCTGAAGGATTTTTTGGCGTCACTAAAAGAACATCGGTGACAAAAAGGCCCCTGCCCCTTACCTGCTTACCTTGCAGGCAGCTCTTCAAGAGCCATCTCACCCCAGAAGCCTTGAACTCACTCCCTATGTAACCTGAGAGCGGCTTGTGAGTAGTAAATTTCCTGAGGCAGGAGGGGGAAGTGTTTCAAGTCAGAGGAAATGGTTACATACTTACTGGTTTCTTCTTAAAACCTCTCTGTGCCAGATGGAAGTTTCCAAATTTGGTTATAGTTTCAAGTTTATAGGTTAAAGAACCTTACCATATCCTTTCAAACAATTGTAAAACAGCTGTGGTGGTACACATCTGTCATCCCAGTTCTTGGGAAGTGAAGAAGGAAGACGGATGTTTCATGTCAGCCTAGGCTACTTCCTCAAGGAGGGAGAAGGAAAGCTGAGGAGAAACAAGGCAGCGGGCAAAAAGACTCCCAGGGTCTGTGTGCGCGCTGCTCAGGGAGCTCCACGAATGCAGCTTTCCGCGCCTTTGAGTCACCATTACTCCTGTAAGTGACCCCTCCTGCCTTATTGGTTCACCAAAATGGATTTGGATGGAGTTGGTTCTTTGGTCTATTAATCAGTTCCTTACTGGGATGAGTAGACTATTGTTTACATCTCCCAAGGAAAAAAAATCACACATTAGACGGTCTCAAAAATCAAAACAAAACAAAACTGGAGTCTGTTTTACTACTACCACTAACACTATTACTACCAAATCCATGTTGGTTCATTAGTACCAACATTCGACTATACTAATGTAATATATTAATCAAAGAAATGGTTTGGGAATTACAATTTTAATCATTGCAGTTTCCCTAAAAACGTAAGTTTTTTATTTCATTTTAAACCTCATGTATTTATTATTTGTGTTCCGTGGCATGTGTGTGGAGGGCAGAGGCCAGCCTGGGGAAGTTGGCTCTTTCTAACTTTCCTACTGAATGGGTTCTGGGAATTAAGCTCAGGTTGGCAGTCTTGGTGGCAGGCACCATTAGCTGCTGAGCTATCTCACTGGCCAATGAACAATCTAATGTCATTTTTTAAAAGTCTCTGTGAACATTAGAAAAAGGCAATTTAGAAAACAGTGAAGTACAAGAAGAAAGGGTGTTAAGAATTATATATTTTTATAAAGATTAGAGCAGCTGAAATTCTAGATTTGAGATTAGATTCTAGATTAGAAAATTAGAGTTCATTCAACATGAAACCAAGATGAACAGAGCCAGATGGCTGACAAAAACATTAAATGC